ACGTATTTCCGGTTGGCATAGACAAACGTGTCGGCGTACATTGATCCCACAGTATTTTTGTGGGAAGAGCTCGTCTTGAAATAAAAACCGGTTGTCTAAATATAGTCTTCCATTGCTTTTTCCTTACTTTGCTAAACTGCTTAATAGCTTCTTCAAGCTCTTTAAATGACTGGAAGTGTCGGCTGCAGAGAATCTCCCGAAACATTGCATCAGCAGATAGGATCGGTGCATCAGCAGATGTGGACGCCATCACTACTCACGTGCAAATGTTCGAATAGTGCGCAAACCGAAAACTTGATACCTAATCTGCCAATCATAAACCGAAAACTAAATAAGTTTCCAACCAATCAGAAACCAAAGACTCAACCAATCATATCACAGAACGACAACCACAAAAACCAACAAAATTAGTCGTGTAGTGTACTCTATAGTTCATTGCAGTTCATTGCGTTTGTTTAGTCAGCACCGAGGTACGTCTGATGAGATCTAAATAGAGTTTGTGTGACATTTTGTTACGTGTATCGCCTTTCTGGGTAGTCTCTTCTGTCTCAGTTACTCTCTACTTATCATCTCATGATTCGACTCATGGAATATTAAATATAATTTGGAAAACCCTAATAGCAATGTTCTGATACCATAGGATAGAATGGTTCCAGTCGGACCAAAGGATAGAGGCAAACAGCCCCCTGTAGCCTTTGGTACTAGTGCGCCGTGATTGCGTATATTGGCGGTATTCCGTGCGTTGACTGGGGGAGGTTACAAGCCGTCATCGAAATCGCCCTAGTAGCAAAACAGCGGCGACTTCAGCGGATTTGGCAGCGCGGTTGAGCGATTACTCGCTAGATAGCTTTTGCAGCCTCTAATTGGCTCATGTTGTTTTGCCTGAATGCGTTCTCATTGGTTGCCGTAACTCTAGTAGAAATTCTCACAGGAATCAGTCGTGGAATCTTCTGCGAAAAGTCGCGCGTGACCTTTTTGCACCGGAAATTGGTGCGACTAAGGTAGCAAAGTCGCGCATAAATCCGGCCTAAAATGCGCGACTTGTCGCACCGGATTCTGGTGCGAAATGTTAGTAGGGCGATGGTGTAGATGTATTTTTTTGACTTGATGTCTGACTACCTTCTCAAACGGCCTGGAGAGTAAAGCCCTCACGGCACTAGGAGGGGGCTGACTACTATAAACATTCGGCTTAACTGAGACTGCTCAGAGTGCTCTTGATACACGTAGTCGCCCCCTATCCCTCTATCCCTCTACCCCCTCCTATTAAAACGCATTTAGTGTGATCTGAACACGG